TTATTATATTTTATAGAATAGGTCCAAACATGCTGTATACACAAACCTAAAGAGGGTAGTTGTTTAATAGCTATCAAAGAACAAAAACCATTCATTTTCAAAATACTAACTATTATACGTATTGTACTTTAATTGTGCACAAGAGAACTAAATACACAGTTTAAGTCATATAGAAATATGGGAGAACTAGACCCACAATATATCTGACCTACAGTTTCTAAAAAAGGCTTGAGTCATTTGGGATTTGTATGGCCTGATAAAAAAAAAAAGAAAAAAAAATAAAAGGGAAAAGTAATAAACTGTAATAGGAATCATGTTTCTGTTCTGTTGCCAGAAGGGATTATAATATTTTGAGTACTATGTACCTCTCAGAATGACAATTGGGCATGAAAAAGGAGGGGGAACAAACAGCATGGGAAAGGGAGCAAAACAAACATGCGTTTCTTTTTATATCTTACAATGTTACTGACTTGAAGGGGCTCATTTAATACGACAAATAAATCTTTCATCTTTTAGCCCACAAAACAGTGAAAACCGTCAGACTACTGGCACAGTATTTTTAGGAGAAGAATGGGGAGAGGGGAATCTCCTACAGCCTCCACTTGGTTTGGAAACATTTTAGATTAATTTTCCAGAAATACAGTATGGTGTTGGGAGTTTAATTTACTTCTTTACCCTCTAAAGACTGTACAGTAAATTTCCTCTGCCTATAACAAATGCTACTTAGTACAGTAGAGTTCATCCAGCTCCAGGGCAGAATTCCTCCACCATTTAAGGGACTGATGACCAAGTTATGCAGGAGACTCTGCCTCCAGCAGTCTTTTACATTGCTGCAGTTCCTTAGTATTTGTAGTGGGTAACTTAGCCTCCATTTAAAGACTACATCTGCTATGAGAAAGACTGGTCCCATGGATGGACTTACGTTTTCCATGGAAATTTGCTGTCAACAGGCCAGAACACTAGTGAAATTCACAGTCTGCCACACATGAAAAACCCAATGAACTTTTTAAGGTTGACCTTCACTCATATCTTAAACAAAATCTGTCTGGAAGCAATCGATAAAGCCAGGCAATGAGTCTGGACAGCAGAAAGGTAAAAAATGTAACAATACAGATAGCACTGTTTTGTTTTAGATTTTAACTTAATTTTTAGATAATCTTAAAGCATGAACTTCAGGCAGTAGGCAAATATGAGATTGGTTGAATTAGCTTGGATAAGATCTGAATTGTCTTTTTAGTCCACTTGTTCTGTGCTACAATAGGTCCTTTCCTGGTTATAGGCATGAACATTATTCATGGCCTCTGAAACATTCCACTCTCAAGCAATATCACCAGCTCAGTCTATTCAGGAATTCAAGAATTCTTTCAGGGAAATATTTTCTTCAAACCATGTTTTGGAAATTCGATTCTCAGGGAATAACAGTCCTGGCTGAGTGTTTGGTTTTGAAGTTATGATGAGGGGAAGCCAAAACCCCAAATCTGAACCAGATTCTTCTAACTTCACCTCCCAGTGGAGAAAACAGTCCCCATGTATCCAAATTATAGCAATATCAATTATTATAATCTGCTTGATTTCAACTGGGTTTAATTATGACTAGGTTTAGAATTTAGGTTTTCATCTTCCATGAGATTTCTGATTGTATTTAAGCAAAGACTTCTCCAATTAATTGTAACAGGAAAATAGCTGTTGTCTGAATAAGAAAATTATTTTTCTTCACTCTAACAGATTCTCTCATACCTTTCTTAATATTAAGGTCCACATTTTTTTTTGTCTCAAATATAAGAACTTATAAGTACACAACTGAGAAGTAGTCACTCTACTTAAGGTCTTCCTGTAATCTCCTTGCAGTCTATTTGTATAGACTACAGTCTATATGTGCCTTCCATTCTATTTTTCATCTAAGCCTTGATGTCCTCATTTTAAAATACACAGAAATATTTGGGGTATTATGCCAATTAAAAACTGAATATGTCTCACCTGATTATACTGAACAAAAAAAATAAAAGAAGTTGAGCATGCTTTTTGAATCAAAATTAGTTAACTAGCTTGATTTAGTTAACTAGCTTGACCAAGTTAACTTACCTGAATATTTGGCTGGTGAAAGAATCCGAGGGAGAAAATTAAGTGACAAAACTTGAAAAAAAAAAATTAGAAGTTAATATATATGAAAAAAATCAGTACCCAGGTGACAGAAGCCGAGATGGTGAAGAAGGTCATGTCACATCTTTAAGATGAAAAGATAAAGAAAAAAAATTAAAGAAAAAGGGTGTGGGAATTTCCTAGATGATAATTCAAAGGCAAAAATATTAAACATAAAATGAATGGATATAATCAAGGAAAATAAACTAAAAGCCTGAGTCAAGTGGAAATAGTGCCCTGAAATTAGACCCATATGTGAGAAAAGGATGGAATAAATGCAAGCTAAAGAAGCACTTCTTTTTACAAGATATATGGGAAACTGAGTCTTATTCCTGAAAAAAAAAAAAAAAAAAAGCAGAGTGCAACAGAAGGATGAGAAAGAGCAAATAAATAAATTAAAAGGCAAAAGTGCAGCTTTTTTTTTGTCCGTTAGTGTCAACACATAGTGTTGCGTTGCAATAGAATAGAACAGCACACTTGTCACTACCATATACAACCAGTTTATCAGCATCAAAGAGTAAAATATTCAAAGGCACACAGCCTGGATATAGACACAGACAAATCCAAAAAGCCAGCAACAACAGAATTATGGACAGGAAAAACACATTTAGATGTTTTCAGTATACATTCCACTTCTTCTTGGTGTCAATTACAGAGGCAATATGTGGAGAAGAGGAGCTTCTCAAACTTGGGTGGTATGTGGCTTTTTGCAAATAGCATGTTTTCATGCTACCCAATGTTTTCATTTTTGCCCAGTAAGCAGGACAGATGAAGAATCATTTGGAATATGTAAGTGGCCAAAAGATGGGTGAATGTGGAATACTGAAGGGGAACTAAGATAAACAAATTTAATAATTGCAAATAAGCATATACGAAAGAACCTTGTTCAACTAAGCAAAAACCTGGAACTACAAACAACAAACAAAAAACACCAGAGTTTTCCCACTGATATTAGATGTCATCAGTATTTAGCTCAGAAAGGTTCCCTTTTCCATAGGGCACAAAGTTAAAAAGATTTTTAGACAGCTGAGCTAGATAAAAGCAATGGAAAGTGCCACGGCAGAATAGGAATGGACAAGTACAAGATTAAGTGGCTTGATTAAATGTAGATAACACAAATACAGAACAAATAATGAGTAATGCTCAGGGTTTTTTTAAAAGACAGCTCATAAAAGTACAGACAGTTAAAAACTATGAAAGTGCTATATTATGCACATAAATGGCATTCACAATCCACAGGAGAGGAAGCAGAAGGAGGTTTTAAAACAGGCAAAGAAGCACACTGAGAATTCAGACAGACATCTTGAAAGGAGCGATGTCAGAAACAACAAAAATATCTCAGGCCTGGTTTGTTTTCCTTCTCCAACATGATGGTAAAATGAAAAGCTTACATTTTCACGAGGTGGACAGAGCAATCAGGACTGTTAAGGTGATAATGTCGTTTAAACAATCTTCATTGAAATTTCCAGTTCTAAATGTGTTTTGCTTCTGCCTTATAGGAAGTACAAAAATTATGTAAATAAATGGTTGAAACTGAATGGTCAGAGGACGCAAGGGGTTTAGAAGAAAAGGCACCACTATAATTGCTTTATCTCTGCCACAGGTACTTAGTGCCTGGTTTTGGTAAAACATGTGAAGTTATCTGGGAACTTTGATTCAATTCATTAGCAGACTTACTACAGCCAAGAAGTCAATAAAGCACAGAGCAAACTATCTTTTCCAGAGGCAGAAAGGGGACAGGCTTGTGAAAATGGACTCATACACACACCACTAGAAAAGTTCACAGTATCACTACTCTAAGATCACGTCTGCACTGTTCATTAATGTAATAACGATGTATCCCTGTATTTATCAGAACAAAATGTAGGCAATAAAGACTTGTCAAGAGTCCCCTACATAATTTCAACCTTTGGGCTGAGCAGGGGCAACAGCAATGACAATGCAAGTTCTAACCTACTGCATTTGAGCCCAGCACATATTTACTGTGTCTGTTCTATGCAGTAAGAAGTTGGTACATACATACTTCTGACATGCAGTAAGCATTTTCCAGTTCATAGGTGGAGAAACAAAACTTGATCTTCCTTATATCTAACCTGAATTTCCCGTTTAAGTTTAAACCCATTACTTTTTGTCCTGTTGCTACAGTCCCTGATGAAGAGTCCCCCTCCAGCATCCTTGCAGGCCTCCTTCAGATACTAGAAGGCTGCTATGAGGTCTCCACACAGTCTTCTCTTCTCCAGGCTGAACAGCCCCAACTTTCTCAGCCTCTCTTCGTACGAGAGGTGCACCAGTCCCCTGATCATCCTTGTGGTCCTCCTTTGGACTTGTTCCAACAGCTCCATGTCATTATGTTGAGGGCACGAGAACTTCAGTATGTTCCATATATTCTTGGTCTTTTACAATAGCAGCAAATCAGATACTTGTTGTAAAATATTTAATATATAAAAATATTTAATATATAAAAATATTTAATACATACAATATAAAATTTAATTTTTAAAATATTTGTTATACATACTTCTTGCTGAATTGGTCATGCTTTGTTGCAAATCTTCTCGTGTCTTGAAACATTTTTTTGGTCATGAAAGTTTGTAATTTAAAATCACTGGATGGTCATACTTGAAATTAAAACTTTAACAGATTTTTTAATTCTTAATATTAAAACCATGGGGGGAAAGATATTTAAGTATAATTTTGAATACCTACCTATTTATGTTTATAGTATTAAGCTAATCATGCAATATTTTACACATGCCATTTTTTTCGTTTAAGCAAACCTTAAAGATTACCTTGACTTTCAAGTACAGTTTACTGATTACCACCCATGCCACACTCAAACAAAGTGAAAAAGCATTCCATAGGTCTTCCTCATCCAGAACCATAAAGACTACAAAGAAAGTAAGAACATTTCCCTGGCAAACCTGCTGGTGATGCACAGGGTAGAACTGACATTTACTTTGGTTTTGAGCAGGTGATGTGCATGCCTTCACACTGGCAGCAGAAAAACTTTCAAGTTAGAGATGAACTAAGGAGCTCAAAACTGGATGCAGTAAATATGAAATAAGAAAATAACTCCTCTGGAATACTTTCATGACCATAAATATGTTTCATATGACTTAGAACTCACATAATTCCACAGAGTCACACAAAAATGAGGTGCTTTATTTAAACTTGTACCAAAATCTTCCAAGTTTAACTTCTGTTTATTACAGTTCACACAGCTGTGTTTTAACATTAACCTGCAAAAACACAGCACAGACACAGATATAAATGCAAAAATAAGAGTGCTCCTAGCTCTAGCAGAAACACTGTGAGCTCTATAGACAGCACATGGCTTGAAAAGCAGGCAGGGCTGTTGAACACTTTCATGCTAGGTAGCTTAGCTGTTTTGTTTTGGTTTGGTTTGAGTTTTTCCTGACATATAGTTCTCTGATTAGTGCATCACCTCACAAAGTGCACAATTCTTCCATGTTATCTTCCAGAACACTGCTATTTTGGGGTATTTACCGGAAGTATGGAAAGCCATGTGTCATCACCCTGCTTCTACAAAACCCCACCAGGCCTTTATAGTCCATTACCTAACATGTGACTAGAATTAATGGTGCACAACTTGATGTCTTTTTTAGAATTTATCAGAAATTATAGGATCTAATTATGTGTAGATAGTGTGCATGTTTGACAAGCGCACAGAAACCAAACAGCAACAAAATCCTAAAGAAAGTTTTATTTCACTTTATCTAGAGAGACTTTCCCTCATTTTATATAATTTCTCTGTTCAGAGTTATTAGTATTTTAACACATTATTCAATCCCACTTGGAGATTTTAATCATACATAATAATATTCTGTGAATCTTTTTAATCTCAGTATAGTTTATAGTGGAAATTTGATGACTAGAAAATTCTATGTTAGTGTTTTATGAGAGCTGAAGATTTTTCATAGCTATTTGCAGCTACTTGGAGTTCCAGTGATTTAAAGCTACATATGACATAAAGCTACATAAGCATCTAAGACCGATTGTCTTAACCACTGAACCTCAGTGACATTCCAAATCAGCGGTTTTGTACGCCTAAACGAAAACTGGTTTTCCCTGAACTTTCTTCCTGACAATTGATGTATTTATCCTCACGGTTTCCTCTGAGACTGGCAAATGCTATACATTCCCATTTTACTGATGAGGAAATGCAGCATAAAGATCAAATATCTTGTCCAACATCAGGCAGTCTATGGCAAAACTATGAACTCTGAATCCCAGGATACCACTGTAGTTATCGGACCACTCTTCAATTTTCACAGAACTACCCCCACTGTCAAATATCAGCTTTAAACTTGTTGACTTTTGAAATTACTTGTCGCTTAAAAATGACAATGTGTGAAATGCCTTACAATATTGGGAAAATTGGATGTTATTCAATTTTCATCAAGGTGAAATGAAAGCCCTGAAATATGAAAATGACAGCATTTCCCTCTGGTGGCTTTCCCAATATTTCATAGTGTCAGTAACAGAAAAATTTTTCCTTCAGCTTTTCACTTTCAGACTATTCTTACCATACAGTTTCATTTCTCTCACTGACCCATTTTTATTTTCTTTCCAAATAAAACTTATTTCTTGCACTCTTACTTCACACAAAAGAAAAAAAAAAAAAAAGGAAGAGAAAGATGGAAGAAAAATTTTATCAGTTGTTTTCAAATTCTAACTCATTTGAGCAAATTTGTTCCCAACCCTCATACAGTTAAAAAAAAAACCACAAACAACCACAAAAAACCACCCCACCAAAAAAAACCCCACCCCCAGAAAACAAACCAAAACAATCAAAGACTTCTTTCCAATCCTCTTCTACCACTATATAAAAGCATTTTGGCATCCTTAAAGCATCCTAACTTTCAGGAAAAAAATCACTGTAATTGACAAGACCAGCCTTCTTCAGGTTCCTAAAGTTGTAAAAAAACCTAAAAAGAAATTAAGAATAAAAATCCATATGTCTCCATAATTTAGGTTTCATCTTTTGCTTTATGAATTAAAAATATACCAGTAAAATGCAAAGTTGTTTTTTTTTTTTTTTTGGCATGTATAAGATAAAATAGAGTTGGGGACTTTTTATGAATTTCAAGATGTGAGTAATGCCAAAAGCAAAAAAGACTTTACAAAGAGATGATGCTGAAAGCTTGGTTGTTAGCTGTTGCTGAGGTTTTGGTTGCTTTTTCTTTTTTTTTCTTTTTTTTTTAATAATATTAGTGTTATTTAAAAATTTCAAAAGAATTCAAAATGGATTGTTTTTCTAGCAACATGAAATTGCTAATCATCAACAGATCAAGATGATAACAACTAATTCTTCCCAGGAACTTCATCCACCTTTATTGCTGTTGAATCAACAGATTTCTAACTCAACAGATTTTCCTCTGAATCCATAACACTGTCTTCTGTGCAAACCAACCACCAACCAATGCTTTTTTCCTTTTATTTTTCACTACAGAGAGGAGAGATGGACTGATTTAACAATAACATGATGACTCAAAGAACTCTGCATACCAGTCTGTTGTAATGTAAGTATTTCTTCTTCATGCTACTTTTCCTCTATGGAGTGTGCTCTTAGAGATAAAAGTGCTTTATTATGGCAATGAGCTTGGTTAGGTTTCGGAATCAGTCTGGATAGGTTTGACAGGAATATCAGCATCTTCAGAAGCACAAGTTAAAGTCTATATTCTATTATTTTTCTGGAAGCCTATAAGCAATTATAGTAACTGTGTATTAGCCTTTACTAATACCTTTTCTACACAGATCACACATATATTAGACAGATTGCAGAGAATGTAGGGAAATAGGAGTTCATTATGTTTAGAGTCTATGTATCTTTCCACTTTGGCTTTTAAACTTACAAAGTGGAGGAAGAAATGAGTCAATGACAAAACCAAAGACAGAAAATGGTTCCACAAGAAAGATCCACAGGAATCACCTGATAATGACCATTCATATTCAAATTTAACTGACTGGTGGGATGAGAATCTGGTGGTTTTTAATGTTACTTCTTAATACTCTCAGTATGAAGTCTAACCATGACAAGCTCAAGGTCCTACACCTGGGTCAGTGCAATCCCAGGCACAGCTACAGGTTGGGCAGACAAGAGATTCAGAGCAGCCCTGTGGAGAAGGACTTGGGGGTGTTGGTCGATGAGAAAATGAACATGAGCCAGCAGGGTGCACTGGCAGCCCAGAAAGCCAACCGTATCCTGGGCTGCATCAAAAGGAGAATGACTAGCAGGAGGTTATCCTGCCCCTCTACTCTCTTCTCGTAAGACCTCACTTGGAGTACTGTGTACAGTTCTGGTGTCCTCAACATAAAAAGGACATGGAACTGTTGGAACAAGTCCAGAGGAGGGCCACAAGGATGATCAGGGGACTGGAGCACCTCCCATATGAAGATCAGCTGAGAAAGTTGGGGCTGTTCAGCCTGGAGAAGAGAAGGCTGAGTGGAGACCTTATAGCAGCCTTCCAGTACCTGAAGGGGGCCTACAAGGATGCTGGGGAGGGACTCTTCACTAGGGACTGTAGTGATAGGACAAGGGGTAACAGGTTCAAACTTAAACAGGGGAAGTTTAGATTGGATATAAGGAAGAAGTTCTTTACTGTGAGGGTGGTGAGGCACTGGAATGGGTTGCCCAAGGAAGCTGTGAATGCTCTATCACTGGTGGTGTTCAAGGCCAGGTTGGACAGAGTCTTGGGTGAGATGGTTTAGTGTGAGGTGTCCCTGCCCATGGCAGTGGGGTTGGAGCTAGATCATCTTAAGGTCTTTTCCAACCCTAACTATTTGATGATTCTATGGCTCTATGGATGTCATGTAACACTCGAGGTGACTCAGAAAAGTCAGGAACAGGGATCAAGTTAATAACTGCTATTGGTATAGCACAGAAGACAATCTCAATGGTTTACTGTTCAGCAAGTACAAGTAATTTGTCCATAGCTTCCTGTACACTGCAATACAAAGTGGCAACCAAGGATGGTTTAAATCAGACCTCATTCAAAAAGGCACTCTAGCAAATTACTGAAATCAGCCATACTCATTACAAATCAAAGTATCATACAATGTTTATGGAAAGCAGTGTTTTAAGATAACAAGGTAGATTTCTGTGCTTTACCTTTTTTATAAACACTAAGATGTTATGGATAACGGCAACTACATTATTTTAATGAGCAACTCCCTAGGGTTACCTGAACATTCTCTTGCAAAAACAGCTCTAATTTTGATTAAGACAAAGCTCTTATTCTAGATGGCCTAAAACATTTAAGGTTATATGACAGAAAAACTTGGAACCATCATTAATTCTGACATTTGATTGCATTCCAATTTATTTCTTACTTTTTAGCCTTGAATGATTTATATATTTTTTCTCCTAGCTAAAGGGAAAATACGTAATTATTTTTGAGACTGGTCTTTCAATTAGCCCTTGGTGATAGTTTCAAATTTAAATAAGTGTTTGTTCATTTTCAGAGAATTTGCTCCTACTTAAAGAAATATGGAGGAGGACAGAATGAGATGAGGATGTCTGCAGCTATTGCAGCTTCCTGTCGGATTTGACAAGATCTTACCAGTGTGGATGGCAAATAGGCTATTGCAGAGATGGATATTAGTACAAATCAGAGAATAAATAGATCTCATACTGTGACAGATCAAAGATCAAGAATATACGTATGAAACAAGAATAACCTTTTAAAAAAGCCTGTTTCTCAATGAAACATAGACAAAAAAGAAAGACATCACACACACTCAGCCTGAAATACACACTGGGCCTGATAAAGAAAGTAAATATAAGGCAAAAATCGCCTTTAAAAAGTTATGTGTATCAAGACAGTCTGGTCTTTACAAAGCCTAAAAAACCTACAGAAGATTTTTTTTCCCCTCTTTCTTTTTTTCTTTCTTTTTCCTTTTTTTTTTTTTTTTTTTAGCCAAATGAAGCAAAATTTGAAGATATTAATGAAATAAGTCGAGAATATTCAAGCTGCTGAAGGGACCGGTAAATGTAAGTGCAAGTAGAACAAAGTTTCATGGCTCTTGCCACATGTCACTGAGAGGCTGCTGGTGCAACCCATACTTAAACAAGAAGCTATACAAGATGAAAAGCACTGCCTGCATATTTATGTCCTCCTCCTCCTCAAAATCCTTTGTGGACAATGGCTAATTACATAACAAAAAAATCGAAAGAATTTGTAATAAATGAAGTCATGCTGTCGATAGTTAAGAAAGTGAAAAGTGTTTTGAAGATTCCTACGGGTAGGATGACACTAACAAGCTGGGTGCAATTTCTAGTAAATGCTATTAGAGAGTACACAGGTTAGGCTAAGCATCAAAGCAATTTCTAATCAGAAGAGCTACCTTTTTTAATGGCTTACTCTCTTAGAAATTAAAATATATTTTCTGATATTTATTCTATTTTCTGGATAACATAGTTGAAATTTATGGGTAATTTTCAACAAGCTTCTGATAGACAAAATAATATTTCCGTAGCCAGCTCTTATATGTATTGGATTGTTTTAGTGATCTTTAGCATGGGTACCAGCATCTGTACATGCATGAGGAATAAATTCTTTCTTACACCTAGCCTTCTAGAGAAAGTTGTATCTACTAAAGTCTTCTGAATGGCCTATATTTTACTCTGGTATAACTTCAAAACATTTAGTTAACATCAGTTGAACTTACCATTTTTATTCTGAAGAACTAAAGGGCCAGTTTCTAAAAGAGATGAAAACAATCACAAATTTTTGTAAGACAAGATTAAATATGCGCTTAGTGTTCCTTTTGGGAGGTTTATCTTCATGTCATGAAATAAACTTATTCTATCTCATTCTATCAAGTTCTTCTGGGTCAAGGCTTGCATTGCATCAGAAAACAGAATGATGAAGGGGGAGAGAAACAAAGATGAAATAAAGTTTTCATAAGGAATGTCCTTGATGCATCTATGATTTATGAAGTGAATAAATGAAATATTGACAAACTGGTGATGGATGAGCACTTTTGGAAGAGGATAACATTATAAGTAATTTGTTGCACTACACTTTCTGATTCCAGAAAGGCTACTTTCTTAAGATCTGTAGATTGGTCTTCATTTCATTCTATACTGACGTAGTAATTATTTTTTTTATCATTATTATTGTCTTTTCAATAACAGGGAAAATAGTTTCTACAACTATACCTATCTGTATTAGAGTACAGGGAAGTATAAATCTTTGTACGCATTGTACATGTAGTTCAGGGCAACTGAATATGGAAAAATGCGCTAAGTTCTGGAAGATGTTTTTGCTAGAAATGTTGAACATTAATTAAGGTATTGCAAAAATACAGTGCAGAAGGTGACGAAAGGATAGCCATCTAATCTTGCTATTTAGTTATTCTTCATCTTGATCCTTCTTTAAATGAGATCTGAAGATTTACTATTTGTCAGGAGAACTGTGGCGGTTGAGAAGCCATCCTGCAGAAGCTTACAGGAAAAGACTGAAGCTCCTGTACTTTTGCTGCAATCAGAGAGCCCAGATTAAAGACCTTGAAAGAACATAAAAAGAATCACTTTGTACTCTCAGTAATGTGGGCCTGACAGCAATGACAGCAGGCAACTGCCTGTGCCTGTTTGAAATGAAGTGATAAGTTTATAATTACCTTAGAAAAAGTCTAAACAGAAACAAAGAAATGTAAATATTCTGACAACAGGAGGAATGCTACATTCTTTATTGTTGTTTGTTTACAAGTAATCCTGATGCATGCTTGAAATGCTCATTTTCTGTCTTCCTTTCACACTGAAATGTGTTGAATATTTACTGGGCCTCCCCATCTCTAAACTTTTATTGTTTTGAAATACTTTCATTCACTGTTTCTGTTTGTGTTGGAATTTGGTTAGAACCACTGACTGAACTCATTCCACTTCTGTTTTTTCAAGAAAGTGACACAATTCTAAAACACTCCCAGAATGTGCAATAGGTTGATTTTTCTAGTATCTGAGAAACAAGCATTCAAGGAAAACAAAAACATTTGATAGGAACCTAAACAATTCATCAATTCGTTTGTCATTCAAAAAAAAAAAATATATAAGAGAGAGAAAAGAAAACAAAACAAGAGAATAAAAATGTAGCTTCTAAGAGATGGGGGTTGGGGGGAGAAGGAGGAGAAATGAGGGAAAGCCAACTGAGACAAAAGCTAGTGATTGTCTATTTAAGAGTAAATTTATGCATGCCCAAGCACACACACACAGAGAAACATGAAAGATTAGAGAACAAAAATAGAACAAAAGTTTGTTGGGTTTTTTTAGTATTGGCTAATTCATGAATAAAAAATAACTTCCACACAAATGCGTTTAAAAAAAAAAAAAAAAGCCTAAAGAAAGAAATAAAAGCATGAGCAACCCTTTGCTTTGGCTGAATGAATTGTATTTAGCTGCTTCAGAAGAAAGTTTCCTTTTTCTTTCTCTTAGAAGCAAACATCAGAGGGTGTGGTGTGTGTTGGCTTAGCAAAATGCAGCTGAGGAGTGGTTATGGGGCTTTATTGTCCTGCAATTGGTTCAAAAAAGAAAAA